CCTCCCCTCCTCGCCTCGTCCCCCGGCCCCTCCCTCTGCCCCGGCGGGTCACTCACCACCTTCCAGCGATCCTTGACCACGTAGTTGGCCGGCAGGATGTCGGCCTGCTCCCCTCCCCCACTCATGTTGGTTTCGTCCTTAGGAGCAGCCGCTAGGCACTGCATCCGCCAGCCGGAGGGAGGGGTGTCCGCAGGTCCTGGCCTGGGGGGGCCATCTACCTGGGGGAGTGGGGAGGGGCTGTGAGTGGAGTGGGCCAAAGACACAGGACCACCTTGCCAATATGATGAAGGGGAGCTCCATCCTTCCCGGGACCACTGCACAGATGCTCCAGGGGTTACTGGGGGAAGCGCTGTGGAAGCACCGGCGGAGGTCAGGGGAGAAGACAAGTCCTCTCCACAGGAAGGGAGGTAGACAAACTACAAACTGGAGATGTGAATACCAGTGACACACCTCGATGAAAAAAGGAGAGGAAAATGATGTGTGAACAGGCTATAGGGAAAGTGTTTCCCAAAGAGGCATATGCTACTTAATGTGGGAGAGACTTGCTAACCAAGGAGCACAGCAGACTGGGTCCCATGCTTACAGCGGGGAGACCCAGTGTGAGTGACTCCATCTGTAGCCCCTGGCACCCACACCTTCCCTGTGCCACAAAATGCAGCTGAGGCTTATTGAAAGGGGAGAACTGCTGATGGAGACTCACACCAGAGTGACAGAGACCAACCATGGGAGATGTGATAATCAGAGAATGCGGAGACACCCAACAGCCCCAGCTGCTGAGGGGCACATATTCTCTGTGGTGAGCCCAAAGCACTGCCACAGCCCTGGGCCTGAGAAGCAAGGATGGGAAGTGAAGATAAGGCAATGGACTCAAGACATGGGTTTTAGAGGGACAGCAGCTATATGGCCTCACAGAGGGAGAGAGGCAGGTTGAATTGGGAGGAACTGGGGACCGCAGGGAAGTGGGAGCGGCCTAACAGGAGTGACAGGGAGCGGCAAGCCTGGGTGGGCATGGGGTGAGAGCCTCTGACCACAGCTTTCTGTGTCTGCTCAGGAACCAAGAAAGAACACAGCTCCTGTTGCATTAGGATAGGTAGAAGCTGGATATCAGGGAGACTGTCCCAAGTGCGTGGGTTGGGATCCAGTCAGTGTTACCCAGGGAAATGCAAGTGTGTGCTCGTGTGTCTGCGCGTGTATCTGCGCGTGTATCCCTCTGTGTGAGTATGCATGTATGTATTGTGTCTTTTTTATTAAACTTATTGGGGTGATATTGGTTAGTAAGATCACATAGGTTTCAAGTGTACGTTTCTATGATGCATGATCTGTATATTACATTGTGTGCCCACCACCCAAAGTCAAATCTTCTGTCACCATATATTTGGCCCCCTTTACCCTTCACTACCCCTTCATTTAAGTGTCCTTCTGTGTGTGCATATCTATGTGTTTGTGTGTGTGTTTGTACATCTGTGTATGTCTGTACGTCTGTGTCTGTGGGTGCTTATGTGTGTTTTTGTGTCTCAGTGTGTGATATGCATGTGTCGGCAGGGAGTCACAAGAGATAACTTTTGAGATCTCTGCCAACCCAGTACAGGAATGGAACTGGGATCTTTTCTTCTTTTCTTTCCCCCTACACTTTTTATAAGCACACTGCTCTGTCCTCACAATGACCCTAGAGTCATAGATGGAAGGAAGTCACTCAGGCTGGGACTGGGGTGGGGGTGGAGAAGAGAAAAGTGCCTTAGTATGGATGGGGTGGGAATTCTATAAGCCTGTCTTTCCTTGGGATGGGATCATTCCTCAGGGCTCCTGTGTGTAGCCGTCCTGATGCAGGGGGCAGCATGGAATGGTGAAGGCAGGTCATGGTGTGCCATGAGAGACATGTGGAGAAGGGATCTTCATGGGGAGGGACACTGTCACTCTTTTTCTGTCTTTCTTCAAACGACTCAGCTTACTGTTTCCTCCAGTCCACACAACTTCAGAGGATCAGAACTGATATGAAATAGGCCTCTGCCCTCCTTCTGCCAAGTGGCATAGGGGGCAGGAATTTGCAGGGCAGAGAGGGCAGTGGCAGGATGAAGGGAGTGGTAGGAATGGGGGTTTCTGGAATACACGTGGAGGAGACAGGCTGAGGACAAGATAAAGGAAGCGACTGAACCAGTAGGGAGGGGTCCTTGAGGAGTTGAACAGGGTGACCTCCGGTGGGCCTTCCAGTCCTGGATGGTGGATTCTATAGGCTGATGAGAAAAATTTAGGTCCTGCTCCCATTTTTTAGATGGGCAAGCCTAGAAGGAGCAGGTGAGGTGGGAAAAGAGTGGGTGCAGGAGGATAAATGAGGGTTCCCTGATTCCTCCTATTCACCACCCTTCCCACTCTCTGCCTCAGAGGACTACGCTCAACTCAGACTGGGAATGGATGACATGAACGCAAGCAACCTGGCTGCCCCATTACTGGCCCCTCAGGACCCTTTGGTGTGTGGAGGCTTCGGTGTGTAGTGAGAGAGGGCTCGTGGAGGAGGTTTTTATGAACATTATGCCAGAGAGTGCATGTCTGAGAGTGTGGGGCTGATGGAGACAGAGCTGAGCGGTTGGGAGCGCCCCGTGGTCTGTGAATATAGGTGTTAATGTGTAACTGCGAGGGATGAGCCAAGGATGTGTGGGCACCTGGGAGCCCAGGTAAGGAGAGGCAAAGGAGACCGGCGAGGAATAAGGGAAACAGATGAAACGGTGTGTGGGAGGGGACAGAGGGGAATGAAAGGGACCAGGGGTGACAGGGTCAGAGGAGGGGGTTGGGTAAGACAGAGACAGGTGAGAGATCATGATGGCACAGGAGGAAGCCCCAGGACCAGAGAGGGGTTTCTGGGCACAGCTGAAGGGGTGAGGGAGTTGGTCAGGAGGCCAGTGGAAGGAATGGAGGGACTGAGGACGAGGGAGAGAGGTTATGGAGACAGCTGGAAGCGACTCGTCAGGGGTGACAGGAGACTGAAGCCATAGGGACAGGGACAGGGGTGAGAAGTGAGGAGCAAAAGGCCCGGGCGGCAGGCGGGAAAGGGTGGTGTGCGCGCGGGGGCAGGGAGCTGGTCCAGGCCTCGGGTGCGGCCCGGGCTGTGTAGGCCGGCGTCCCAGCCCGGG